GTTTACCCCTGAATGTAATCTGCCTCCTTTCTCTTGTAGCTTTTAATATTTTCTCTTTGTTCTGTATATTGGATATCTTCATAACAATGTGTCTTGGCATTGGTGTACTGTGATTTTGTGTGCTCGGTGTCCTGTATGCATCTACAATTTCTATATCCGTTTCCTTTTTTATTTCTGGAAAGTTTTCTGTAATTATTTCATTCAGCAGTTTACTCATTCCCTTGGTTTGAATCTCTGTACCTTCTTCTATCCTGATGACTCGTAGGTTTGGTTTTTTTAATGTTATCCCATATCTCTTGGATGTTTTTCTCATGATTTTTAACCAGCCTTTCTGAGTTGGCTAGGCTCTTTTCAAGATGATATATTTTGTCTTCATTATCTGACGTTCTTGCTTCTACTTGCTCCACTCTGTTAGTGATACTCTCAATTGAGTTTTTAATTTGGTTTATCGTTTCCTTCATTTCTAGAATTATTGTTTGATTTTTTTTATAATCTCTATCTCATAGGACTAAGGATGTGGCTCAAGTGGTAACGCGCTTGCCTGGCATGCGCGGGGCGCTAGGTTCGATCCTCAGCACCACATAAAAATAAAAATAAAGATGTTGTGTCCGCCGAAAAAATAATCTCTATCTCATGATAAAGATGCTTAACTTCTTCTTTTATCTGTTTATGTAATTCATTTTCAAAGTGTTCTTTCACTGTTTGGATTTGCTGTCTCGTATCCTCTTTAAGGTTCCATTCCATCTGTCTAAGGTGTTCCTTGAGTTCTTTATATGACCATTTTTCTGCTGACTCTAGGTCCTCCTGAATATTTAGGCTGTCCTTCATTGTTTGTACTCCTTTTCTTCCTTGCTTTTTTATGCTGCTCATGTTACTTCTTGTTCTGTTTGACTGCTGAGTTACTGTTTACTCTTATAGATTTATTTGATGCTTGGGAGGAAAGATATTAGAAGGGAAGGGAAGAAGTCACTAAAGAGAATGAGAGTAGGCAGGTAGAATTCAAGGAAGGGGGAATAAGAAAATTGAAAAGAAATGAAAAGACAAAAGAAACAAAAACCAAAAAATAGAAAATAAAGAAAGAAAGAAAAGGAAAAATTTTTTTTACAAAAATAATAATGATAATATAAAAATGAAAATTAAAATTTAAAAAATAATAATAAAATAATAATAATAATAAAAAAATAAAAAATTAAAAAAAATAAAAACATTGAAAAAAAAAGTTAAAGAACAACAACAAATAAAAATTGAAAATGAAAGAAAAAGAAACAAAAAGAAAAAGAAAAAAATGATAATAATAATAATAATAAATGCAGTCCTAGAGTTCGATTAACTTCTCTTCCAGTAGGTGGAGCTGTGCCCACTGGGCCAAGCTTCTCCTCTCAATAGGTGGGAACCATTCACTGTGCAGCAGCTCTTTCTCCTAGACTGGGCGTGTCTCCAATCCTGAGTGTCTAGGGCCTTCTCTTGTGTTTCCTCAAGCCAGGCCGTGCTCACCTGTGGCGCTCACCACAATACTGGCTACACACCAGGTCTGCTGCTCCTGGGAGCCCTGTTTTCATGAACACCTGGGCTCACTCTCCCTGTTTGCCTCCCTCAGACCCTAAGTTTGTAGAGCTTGGGGCTGAGAACCCCCAGGGAATTTGCTTGCCCTTCGGTAGCCATGCCCCCGGTAGCTGGTGCAAGAGACCTCAGTTGTCAGCACTGGTTGGAGCGGTAGCCGGGAGTTCCGCGCCGCGAGTCCCGCGCCACTCCTGATTCCCTGGGTCTGGCTATTGCGCTCACAGGAGAGCTGGGAGGGGCCCTTAAGCTTTCCCCGCTGTGTGGAGAGAGATGGCTAGGGGATTACACACCTGTCGCGCTGGTTTCAATGCAGTTATCTCCTCCGCCCGTGACGTCAGTTCTCTGCCAAGGTGGTATCCCATGCAAATGGTGACCGTTCGTTCCCTTTGCCAGGTGACCAATGCAACGGGTGGGTCCTGACTGTCTCTCCCAATCCCCGTTTCAATCCTGTGGCCACTGCCTATGAAGGCTCGGCTGGCTTTTACCTCTGTAAGTTCATAAGGGCCGACCAGTTATTTCAGCGGGATCGTTAGTGCTGAGTCACGAGAAGCAGCTCAAAGAGAATCTTTTCTATAAGAAAATTCCCTAAATCTACCAGGAGGTGGGTCTGAACTCTCATTGTCCCTACATTTATATATAAAGCATTATTCATATATATTCATATATACCCATTATATGTACAAATAAATATATCTCCATGTGATACATAAATAAATATATCTCCACTGGTGATCTTCATGTTGTTTTTTTTTTTAATCTCCCATGTGAGAATAGGTGGTACCTGTTCTCTCTCCATTGCTTATGTATCAGTCAGTTTTCACTAGGCTATGCTGTGGTAACAAATATCCCTAACATCTCAATGGCTTGTAACAACCAGTGCTTATTCTTAGCACCTGTACATGCCAGCTGTAAGCCCTGCTAATATCTTCTTTCTGGGAGCGAGTCTTCTTTTAGCCCCTGCATCACCTGGAAGCTCACTAGAAATTCCCTCTGCTTGAGTCTTGTGGCACAGGGAAAAGAACAACAGTGGAATCGTGCAATGGCCTTGGAAACTTGTGCATTGATGTGGAATGTGGGCTATTGCATCTGCTCACACTCTATCGGCCAAAGATGTTATATCGCCAATCCCTGTGTCAATGGGGTGAAAAATATAATCATTTTATAGAGAGAATAGAGTGAATAATTGGGAACAATAGTACAGGATGACTAGGTTGAAGAATCGTGTGCCTTTGAGTGATAAATGACTGGCAAATGCAGTAATTGGCATCAATAAGACATTAGTTATTTCTCATAGGAAGATCTATCCATAGCTTGCCTCTTAAAATTAGTGATAAATTTTCTTCTTTTAGAAGCAATCTCCACAATGTATAATATCACAAAGGAATAAATGTTTGTGTCCCTAGTGGCTGGAGATATAGCTCAATTGGCCTTGCATGAACAAGGTCCTGGGTTCAATCCCCAGTGCCACACACACACACACACACACACACACACATGTTTGTGTCCCCATAAAATTCATGTTGGAATCCTAACCCTCAAGGTGACAATATTAGGAGATGAGGTCTTTAGGAGATAATCAGGTCCTGCAGGTAAAGCCCTCATGATGGGCCTCCCCAAGTGCTCTCTTATCCTCTTGTACCGTGTGAGGATATAATTAGACACCAGCAATCTACAGCCTAAAAGAAGCCCTCACCAGAACTCAACTCTGCTGGCACCCTGGTCTCAGACTTCTGCCTCCAGAACTATGACAAATAGGTTTTTGATGTTCTTAAGCCATCCAGCTATGGTGCTTTCTTATAGTTGCCCAAACTGGCTAAAAAAAAATACACTTTCTATTACTTTCAAACAAATACTACAACACAGTAAAAGTGTAACTTTTTTTCTGAGATTTAGGGTCATGATTATGACCGTCAGCTTGGGCTTTGTTTTAACAGAGTAAACTCCTGGGGATTCCTTGTGAGTCTAGGGCTACATACCTCTTCTTTAAGTGGTCCCCAGGCTACTTCGCTTTTGAAGCACAAGGCTACATTTTATAGTTTTTCTGTCTCTTTCCAAAATACCAGGTTCTTTTCTGTCATATCTTGATAATGAAAGCAAGTCTTCCTTTAGCCCCTGCATCACATGGAAGCTCATTAGAAATTCAGAACCTGGGCCCCATCCCAGGCCTTCTCAATCAGATTCTGCATTTTAATAAGTCTCCTAGGTGTTAAATATGCACATTAATGTTGGAGAAGCAGCCCAGTGATTCCTAACCCTGAGGGCACATTGGTATCACATGAGGAGCATCACAAATACTGAACCCCTGCCTCCCCAGAGCCTTGACCTAATTGGTGTGGGGTATGGTGAGGATCTTGGAGGTTTAAGGGCTCCCTTGGTGATTCTGATGTGCAGCCAGGGCTGAGAACCATGGCTATCTGGCAGCTTTCTCCTAACTGCTTGAACTTGCTGGTTCAGTGATTAGGGAAGCTGGCTTATTTATGATCGTGCAATTGTGTTGTTGACCATTAGCATCAAATAGGCTCCCAAGAAAGGAGGAGCCTGGCCTGTACTGCAATAATAATAGCCCAGCTTATTAAGGAGTTTCTATGGGCCAAGAATATTATCCCTAATCCTCATACACCTTGTTACCCAAGTTTAAATTTAAGAAACTAAGTCTCTACAAAGGTGAGCAACTTTTCCAAGATCATACAACTCCTAAGTGAAAGAAGTAGGGTTTGAATTCATCTCTAATTTCAAAAACATGGCCTTTTTCTTCTACCAGGGAACTTTTGTACCCAACCTAGGTGAGCTATGATGATTGGACCTTATAACATCTGTTGTGGCTGTTCATTGACCCATGCCACTTTCTTCCAGAGTCTGGTTGGGTTCTGGTTGGGCAAGACTACCAGAGAAGAGGTCAAACTCCTAGGCTGCCCCAGCTCCTCAAACCATGTAATGTTAGAGAAGGGCAAATTGGATTATCACAAGGAGATTTAAATAGTTCTACAAATTGCACAGGAGAAATTGATTAGTGCTAAGAAGCCACAAGACTCCCTACGAAAGGGTGGAGTTCTGTGGGGACTGAAGTGAGCTTCCTTTTCAGAACTGTGAGGGCATTGGTCATAGGACCAAGCACATCAGGAACATTGTCTCATGTGACCTTCATACAATCCTATTGCACTTGATATTAATCTTGCTTGTTTTACAGATGTAAAAATGGAGGCTGGGATGTAAATTTGCCCAAAGTTAGATTGCCAATAAAAAGAAAGAGCAGGGCTGGGGATATAGCTCAGTTGGTAGAGTGCTTGCCTCACATGCCCAATCTGGTTCAGTCCCCAGCACCACAAAAAAAAAAAAAAAAAAAGCAGAGCTAGTATGGAAATTCAGGTTCAAAACTCTGGAAGTCTTTTGTTTTCTTCTCTCTCTCTCTCTCTCTCTCTCTCTCCCTCTCTCTCTCTCTCTCTCCTCCCTATTGCTTTCTGCTATTACATCTCTTTCCTCCCCAAAATGAGTGTTGAATGACATGGCTGCCTGAATGGGATAGGATGGGGTACAGTCCTCCATTGTGTGACAGGAGATGGGAGAAAGATCATCCATTACTATTTACAAAGTATAATCATTATTTATATTTTTTTAGTACCACTGAGCCACATCTCAGTCCATTTTTATGTTCTATTTTGAGACAGGTTCTAAGTTGCTTATGGCCTCACCAAGTTGCTGAGGCTGGCTTTGAACCTGTGACCCTCCTACAGGGATTACAGATGTGCACATGGTGCCTAACTCAAAGAATTATTTTTTATAAAATTTATAAAATTAAATTCACTTTCTCCTTGATCCTAAGTACTATTATTTGCCATTTGTTTGATGTCAGTATGGATAAGGAGATGTCTGCAAGTGAGGAGATACATCCACTACAGATGAGCACAAATTAGCATGAACCATGTTGAGACCTTGATCTCCAGAGAAAGAGTCAGCAATGTATAATTCTCCACTTACATTCTTATTTCCTGGGCCTTGGTTTAGGCCTTAAAGAAGCCTATTTAAGTCAAAGCCTCCACAGGAGTGAGGGGGAAAGTGACTCCCCCAGCATCAAGGCACAGTAGGGGGGATTATTTCTTTGCAGCATAGTTCCTAAAACCCTGGGAAGGAGAACTTCTTCCTAAGATTTTTTTTTCTTGAATTTAGAGAATCTTTGCTTCATGCTGCTTACTGCTCTAAAGGAAACAGGCTCCAGAAGGATTGCTCCTTATATTCATGGATGCATTTCCTGACCTCTCTAACATGAGGGCAGAGAGCACACTCCTCCTTCCTTTCCTGTTAGAATCAATCCCTCCTGCCTGCAGTGGGGGTGGGAAGATGGTGCAGGGAAGGAGCTCTGTGTAGTGGCAAGTGTGCAAAGCTGCTTCCTACAGCGTGGGAGACTTGGAATGCAGGTGTCCTCTTAGCTACCAGGTGAATGAATTATTTAGATAGAAAGAACATTTCTGTTTGCCTGTTTTCCAGTTTGCTCTTGGGTGAAAGCTGGTGGAAAAATGGGACAGAAGTGGGAGTGGAGTGTGGCATGTTCATCCATCAAAATCAGAAGGCTGTGCAACTCTGGAACTCTTGAGCTAGTTTCTCATGGGCAAAAAAGAACTTGTAATGTCCCCAATCATCTACTCCCATTCATGTACTTCAGATTTTAATTCATGGCACAAAGTTCTACGCGAATGCCCAAGGCTGAAGCCTTGAATCATCTTTTTCTCCTCCACCCACAACTCCCACACCTAGAAAGGCAATAAAGCCTGTCAGTTCGAGTTCCTTGATGGAACCTCAAGAACTGATTCCCTCCCATCCAGATTCCCTGTCCTTGTCTTGGTATAGGATAGGAAATTTCCTTTGTGAAAGGCTACATTATTTTAGGTTGTTCTCTGCCTTGAATTTATCTAGATCTCTAAGCCCCAGTATTGAAGACTTATCTTTCCAAAACACATGCCTTCATTACCATTCCTTTCCTTACAAACTTGCTCCATCCCATTTCCTCCAAGACAAGGTCTGAGTCCTTTAATAGTGCTTGCAGCTTTTCACACTTGAATTCCTGGCTCCTCCCTCCCTCCCTCTTTCCAGTCTTTCATCTAATCTGATGGGCATCAAGTCTCAGCAAACTGCTTGTCCCCGGGTTGGGGGCTCCATGTTTTGTTCATGCCTAAACATTTTTTTTACTCCTAAACTTGATACAATTCTTGCAAACCCAGTTCTAATGTCACTTCAAACCTCTCTATTCCTTCAAGTTGACTCAGAGCTCCTGGAGCAGTTGACACAAATCTATTCTTTCCTGCATCATAATTTTTATGTAAATGCATTTCCTCTATTGCACATAAACTCTTAGAGACAGGGTCTGTGCTAGATACATGTTGGATATTCAACCAAGTTTAAATGATTTGATTTATTAAGTCTGTATCACAACCACCAACTTCCAAAGATGCAGGAATCCCCCGCTTTTTTTTGGGGGGGGGGCAGTTTGTGTTTATGAGTCTCTAATACTTCTTTACATTTTTCTAAACTCTCTACCCTTTTCTTCACTACCCTTACCTCTTGCAGGATTCTCCTGCTTCCTGGCCTTTGAGACAACACTTGCCTCTGGCAGTTCTCACACAGCCACCCGCCTCTGTCCTAGAGGGAGTGTCAGGAAGACAAAGTGGGTCCACCCTGGAGCAGGGGAGGCAGATCTGCATGGACTGTCTGCTCCTTTGCAGCCAGACCTAAATATAAACCAGCTGCCAGAGGGAGGCTGGAAACTACTCGTGTGGAATCAGGTCCAGAGACAACAAATCTGCTTAGAGAGAGGAAGGAGAAAGACATTAGTGTCAAGCCCAGAGGCCCCAAGGTCAGGCCTGGGCATGGAGCTTGCTCTGGACATTTTCCACATGGGTGGAGAAGAGAAGGCCATTAAGGTATCCCTGAAAGACATGGCTGGAAATGGGTAGGGGAGGTGGGTGGGGTGGGTAGAAGAAACACAGAGGACATAGTCCAGCATAAGCACAGAATGTAATTCAGGGGCCAGGTCAGAGATGCTTCTGGGTTGGGTTGGGGCCTGCTGTTAATTGCTAATGAAACAAGCAATTTTCAGCAATTGTGATATTTTGCATTGTTGGGGTATCTTAAAATGAGATCCAAGCCCCATAATCTTGCAGACTGCTAGGAGGGGTTATAAAGGATGTGGAACCTGCCATATCAAGGGAGCAAAACACTCTACATAGCTCCAGGGAAGATATCGTATGAACAGGTTTGCAGAATAAGAGGGGAAGCCCCTACTTTCTGGGTTTATAAGTAGTTAATTTCCCTCCAGACAGACCTCATATTGTATGATGGGGAAGGGGAGCTTTATCAGGAGGAATGGGGTGAGTAAGCTGCCAGGAGACCCTAATTCTATTTTCAAAGATGTTTTCCAGGGAGGTCCCCTGATGAGCTCTTGGCATCTCATGACCTCCTTCAAATGAACACAGAAGAATCTGGGTTTTATCAGATATCTCGGTTTGTCGGTTCTTCTCTAATATCTAGCACTGTCAGGTCAGCTCATTAGTATACAGAATTCTACAGACTTTGGAATTTCAACTAGCGAAAAGATAAATGTTCCAGCACAAGCTAAGTGCAGCTTGTTACTGGCAATTAAGACATAAGATAATTCAAGGTATCAAGGGGGCAATAACATTGCTTAATCCCCCAGGCTCCAAAAGCTTAAGTGGCTAGTCCAGGATCCCTTCCTCACCACTCAGTTCTGACTGAGGCTGCCCTAAGTGGAACTCGTGTAAGTTTTACAAGTGGATAGATGTAAACATTTATTCCTTGGTGAACTCTAAAATCCCAACTCAACACCTCTCAGTGCCTGAGTTCCCCAGAAACCTCCAAGGCACTATCAGGTTTCAGCTGGATCTGTGACCTGGGCAGGCTTTAGCTGTGTCATCAGGCTCACAAACAAGCTGGGTACAGAGGACCTCCAGGGCTTTTCCCAAGGCAGCTCCCTTGCTGGAAGAGACCTGACTCGGCCAAGGGGACAGCCTTGACCAGCCAGGGCTGCCACAGCTTTCCTCCTAGAGTTTCTCCAGAGCATGAGAAGGACCTTCTGTAGGCAGTTTTCTCCTCTCTGCACCTCTAAGTCTCTCTTCCAGCTCCTCATTCTTCATCATCTTCCAGGAAGAACCTCACTTTGACCCTACAGTTGCCATACCTGGTGGAGCCAACCACAGAACAATTGTAATGCTCCTGTAAGCTCCTTTAAATCTAGCACCTGAGGTCTGTGTCTCTCTCCTTTTTTTCTTTTTCTTTTTTTCTGGTGCCGGGGATGGGACCGAGGGCCTTCTGCATGGAAGGCAAGCACATGCCCCTAAGAAACATCCTCAGACCTACCTCGCCTGGTTAGTTTCTCTGCCACCCTGCTTCTTTGCTCATGATTGCTCCACGGGGATTCAGGGTTGTGGGTGAGTACAACAGCTGGATGGGTTCAAACCATTGTCACTGCTTGCATGGGTGACCTTGGGAAGTTAATTCACCTGGCTAAGCTGCACTATCCTCAGTTGTAAAATGGGGATGATCATAACACTTATTTCAAAGGGCCGGAGTGAGAAAACACTTAACAGCCCGGCCCGGACTAAATGAAGAACACTGTCTATGTTAGCATGGGGTAGGCAGCCCAGGGCTGGTAACTCTGGTTCCTGAGTTTGTATAAGGTCAGGTAAAACCCCCTGGAAATAAAAAACAGTATTCTAAGAAGATCTTTTTAAGGACTCTCAACACACATCCTCTTATTTAATCTCCATCTTAGTTCTGTGATAGGCATTCCCCATTTTATGAGAATTTGATTTGACCTAGCTTGCCCCAAATCACCCACCTAGGAATGAAAGAGCGCAATCTTAGAGTTCTGTTCTTCTAAATCTCAGTCTAGGGCTGCCCCAATGCCATACTGGGCATCAATGATATCGAGTTAGCCCTCTTTGATCCTGAAATAGAATTGCTAATTCTTGTTTTCTTCTGAAAGCTTGATCTATTGAGGTATATATGTTTTGACAAATAAATACAGTGATATAATCTACGCCAGTGAGCTAGAGAAAGATCACCATTAACAAGAAAGCACCCTTGTACCCTTCCTGATTAATCTGTTACTCCACTGCTCCCCTGGATAACCATGCTACTCTGATGTTGGAACACAATAGACACTGGGCCTACTTCAGAACTTTATATGTACTCTCTCTGTTTGGCTTCTTTTCTTCAACATAATGCTTTTGAGACTCATTCATTGGGATTTAATTTGCATGGCCTTAATGATTAAGGATGTTGAACACTTTTTCATGTTATTTTTGGATATTTTCCTTTGAAAAGTGTCTATTTACATCTTTTGAATTTTTTTTTTTAAACTTGAGTTGTCTTTCTATTGTTGAGCTTCAGGAGTACTTTATGTATTGTGGATAAAAGTGCTTTGTCAAATATATTTATTGTGAGTATTTTATCCCAACAGTGCCTTAAAAACCTGGTTGTTACAGAACCATTTGTTATAGAAAACTTTATTTCCTATTGAATAGCTTTGACATCTTTGCTTAAGACGAATTGCCTATGTGTAAGTGTGAGTCTATTTCTGGACTCTTTGTTGTGTTCCTTTGATATATGTATTTATCCTTATGTCAACACTATGCCTACCTGATTATTGTAACTTTTTACTATGTTTTGAATTCAGGTCATGTAAAATTCTCCAATGTTACATATATAACATGGAACATGTCTGTGCTAGCTTTCTGTCACTAACAAATACCTGAGAAAATCAACTTAAGGGAAGAAATATTTATTTTGGCTCATAGTTTTAGAGGTTTCAGTCCAAAGTCAGCTGATTCCGTTGCTATGGGCCTGTGGTGAGCAGGTAGAGCAAAACTACTCACCTTATTGTGGCTGGGAAACATAGAGGGGGGAAGGTCAGGAGAGAAAGTGCCTGGGACAAAATATAGTCCCTAAGTCATGCCCTCAAGACTGACTGCCTTCAATTAGGTCTCGCCTCCTAGAGTTTCCACTATCTCTTGATGGTCCATTCGCATTATGAATCCATCAATGGATTAATCCATGGGGGAGGTTAAAGGCCTCATGATCTCATCATTACCTAAAATCCCCACCCCTGAATGTTGCTGCACTGGGGACCAAGCCTTCAAGACATGAGCCTTTAGGGGATACTTCAAACCATAATTTTGTCTTTTTCTTTTTTTCCCATAAGATTATTGCTTTATTCTAGACACTTGCATTTCCATATACATTTTAAATGAGCTTATGAATTTCTAAAAAAAAAAAAAATACCTGGTGGAATTTTGATTGGGATTGCATTGAACGTTGATTTGACAATGTTGAATGTTGAGTTGGATTCGAAGAAAATTGACTTTTTAAGGATATAGAGTTTTTCAAACTATGAATAGCATGTATCTGTTTCTTCATATAGGTTTAAAAAAATTCTCTCAGCAATGTTTTGTTCAATTTTATACTTGTATGGCAGGATGGCAGGAGGCTAAGATGGATATCCATTGCTCCATCATGATCAGAGCCAGAAAGAAATGACTTAATCCCCCCACACACACTCCTTCCCTTTCTCTCTCTCTCTTTCTCTTTGCTACTGGGGATTGACCCCACAGGTACTCTATCACCAAGGCCACATCCTTAGCCCTTGTATTATTTTTAAATTGTGAGACAGGTTCTCACGAAATTGCCAAGGCTGGCCTTGAACTTAGAATCCTCCTGCCTCAGCCTCCTTAGTTACTGGGATTATAGGCATGTACCACCTGGCCTGGTTAAGAAATTATGGAATCTTGTTCTTCAGGTACAAGAGATCTTGCCCAAATCTCTACTCGGGTTTACTCTCATCATGGCTTCATCAATCTCTACAGACATGCCATTGGCCAGCATTGGGAATTTCATTTAGAAAGCAAGAATTCTGGGGTGTTAGGAAACTGCTCTACCTAGAAGGGTTAGATTCTATTTGTTCAACTTGAATGTCAAGACAGTACTTGCCATGGGCCTTGTATTCTCCTAGAGTGAACCCCACAGTGGTCATTTCAGAATGAGATCATTCCATTCCACCCCTGGACGCTATAACCCATTTGAACAAATGTTTTGGTTGGAGTCCTGGTGTTTCTTGTTATCTTAAATTCACAGTGTTTCTCTGAGTATGACTGCCAAAGTGTTATTTTAAAATATAAATCAGATCTTGTCACTCAGGATTAAAATTCTCCTATGGTTTGTGTTTCAGATATTTAGATATCTATTTCTATGTAACAGTCCACTTCAAAACTTAATGACTTTAAACAACTATTCATTGCTTATCATAATGCTGTGGATCAGTAATATAGCTTGGGTTCAGCTGGGCAGTTCTTGTCTTGGTCTTACTGGGATTCACGCCTGTGGCTGCTCCATACAGGTCCAAATGAGTCCAAACTCCCCTTATTTACACATTTGGGTCTTTGATGCTTGACCAGGTTATTGTCAGGACTTGTCTTCCATATGGTCAGTTACCATTTAGTGTTCTAGTCTGGGATTTCTTACGTGGTGGAAGAAATGTTCCAATAAGGTAAGTTTCCGATAAGGTAACAGAGAAAGCTACAGGAATTCTTGATGCTAAGCCTTTGGAATTAACATATCATTTCCACCATGTTCTGAGTTCAAAGCAAATCATGATGCCAGTCTGGATTGCAGAGATGGGAAAACAGTCTCCACCTAGTGTGGGGAAGAGCTACAAAATATAGTGTCTTTCCACAACTTCTTGTTGCACTTACAATAAAGTTTAAACTAAGGTCAATGTAATATAAATTCAAATATTAAATATAAAGTTCAAAATGATACTGTATAACAGGACTAGCCTGTTTCCCTGAATAAATCTCTTTGCTACTGGGGATTGACCCCACAGGCACTCTATCACCAAGGCCATTACAAATAAACAATTGTTCTAATTTTAGGGCTTTCATATTTCCTATTCTCTCACTCTGAATGCTCTTCTCTTGGATCTTTGCAAAGCTGAATTGTTTTCTCTTACGGTTCAAATTTCAGTTTTTCAAAGAGACCTTGCCCAGTCACTTCTTCCTGTCACTCTTTACCATCTTCCCCTGTATTATTTTCATATGGTCCTTAGTGATACCAGGAATTATTAATTCCTTTATTGCCTGTCTTCTCATCGGAAGTAAAACCATGAAAACGTGGCCATGGACTTTCTAGTTCACTTCTATCCTCCCAGTGCCTAGAATAGTGCCTGACACCAAGTAGACACTGGATAATGATTTGTTCAATCAATTAATCTTGATGTTTTCACCTTTTTAGCTTGGAAAACCTATATCTCCTTAGGAAACAGGACAAAAGTGAGCAGTAAAATGAATTTCCTTCTGCAGTTAGAATTTAAATAAATATCTGTGGGCTCTTTACCTGCAATTAGCATACATTACCACCAAGTGGCAGCAAGTACCTTATTCATTTTGTACAATCTATTAGGCAAAGGTTTTCCTGGAATTCAAATTGTGTTTGCCCAAGTTTATGCTAACAGTTTTACAATTAATTATTAACTATGTAATATATTTTAAAAGTTGCTGACTTGAAATAGCAATGAACAGTAAAACTATTTATTCTTAAAGAATAAGCACTTTTCTTAGAGAAACTCTGTTCTCTCTGTGTATAATTATCATTGCTCATCATTAAATCTAAATCTTCTCCCATAACCATATTATGATTAAAATGTTCTTTCTAATTTGGCACAAATTCCACCTTGGAGTCCATGCCTTGAGGCTGACTGGAGCTGGACCTCAGGCTACATCTGTATTGCAAAGCTTTGTGACTGCTCTTAGCTGTTAGTTCCATTCTCATTTAGAGCCTACTGATAACTTAGTTCCTCAAGTATTTCAATTTGTTTTTCTTAACACTAGCTTTTTTACTTCTCCTCCTTATATCAAAATTAGGAAGAAAGAGGGGAAAAAATACCCACTCCTTTATCCTGAAAGCCTGGTTCTGCCCCAGATTCTTTCTAATACAAAGAAAGTAATTTCTATTTCTCCTTAAATAAGAGTCAAATATCTTCCTTCATCCAGTTTTCTCATAGGGAGTTCTTTAAACCACCCATTATGTACAATAGGATTTATCTTATCGGGGGCCATAGCAATGGTTTGACAAGAGGCAATTTAGAAAAACTGTTTTCATGATAAGAGTTCCTCAGAAACTGTTTTCCTAAAGAAAGAGTTAGAGCACTTAAATAGAAAAATCTAGCAACATTGTGCAAAGCTTTCTGGTTGGGCATTTAAACTTTTCTACACAGCTCCTTGGAGAATGCCAGTTCTAAAGGCTGGACCTCGTGGTTTGGCTACTGGGATCCAGATGTTAAGATCTCAGGATCCTCTGGAGATGTTTTGCTAAGCTAAATAAGCCAATCCCAAAGAACCAAAGGATGAATGTTTTCTCTTATATACAGATGCTAATTCACAATAAGCTGGGGGAGGGGGAGGTAGTGGTGGAGGAGGAATAGAGGCATTTTGGACTCAACAGAGGGGAGTGAAGGGAGGGGAGGGGGCATGAGGTAGGAATGATAGTAGAATGAATTGGACATTATGACATTATGTGCATATATGATTACATGACCTGTGTAACTCTACATCACGTACAACCAGAAGAACAAAAAGTTATACTCCATTATGTATGATGTGCCAAAATGCATTCTACTGTCATGTATAACTAATTAGAACAAATTAAAAAAAAAAAAAAGATCTCAGGATCCTAGGGACCGTGTCCTCTCTAGCATTCCTTTACCAGGCATGCAGGGATGTGATAAATGGTCCAGAGCCAGGGCATGCCACAACACAGATGCTTAATCCTACCTAAAGGATAACTGTTTTCTTATTCCTATGGGTATAGAGCATTCATATTTTTTTGTATATTGTTTACAAAAGCCAACCATCCTTCAGTTAAATGTCTTTTAGGACATGTATTCAATCAGTAACCATTGAGACCATATGTGTGTGTGATGAATATTGAATAAATGAAAGAAAATGGCCATTTATAGTTTATAGTCCATAAATGTGCTAATTTATGTCAACCTTCTAGTATTTGGGGATTGCACAATATATTAGTTTAAAACAGTAAGCCATTCCCTAAAGTATTTGTGTTCCACTGTACTGATGTTTTATATGCATGAAGATATACACAAAAATATAAATTAAAATGGGTAAGATATAAATAATGCTTTTTAGTAATGATTTCATTTATTAATGGTAAAAACTTTATTCTCATTAAAATCTTTTATACATTTATATTCCTAGTGAGAGCAATACAATTGATTATGCATCTTTGTCTTAAAATCTTGGTGGGACTTTGTGATATAATCATTGTATGATCTAGTTATAAGTTTGGTTTATTTTCTTAGTTTTGATTTCTATCAGAGAGGAAGAACAGATTTTCATAAATCCACTAGGAAGACACACTGTTAGTCTCCTTTACTAAATCTGGTACTCATTGTTCAAACTTTTTTTTTTAATTTAAATTTAGTTTTTGGGCTGGAGATATAGCTGAGTGGTACAGAACTTGCTTAGCAAGCGCAAGATCCTGTGGGTTCAATCCAAGTACTGCAAAAAATAAAAATGAAAATAAATAAATAAATTTTTTACATTATTTAATCTTTTTTCCCCCAGGGATTGAATCCAGGGGTGCTTAACTACACTGAGCCATATCCCAGCCCTTCTTTAAAATTTTATTATTGGGAGACAGGGTCTCACTAAGTTGCTTAGGGCCTCACTAAATTGCTGAGGTTGTCTTTGAACTTGTGATCCTTTGCCTCAGCCTCCTGAGCTGCTGCGATTACAGGCATGTACCACCATCTTGATTATTCAATCTTATTTACTAATTATGCAAGCACTTTTGTGGAAATTCAGCTAATATTTTCTATACTCTCAGATATCAACCTGATTTACTTATAAATTGCTGTTTTTGTTTTTAACAAATGTGCTCAAAATATATTATGAAACTCTGATTTTTAAATGTTAGAAAATTCAGTTTCTGTTTCTTGGTATAAAGACATGGAAGTTTTTATGGGTGGTATGGTGTAATTTCAACAAGAAAGTTATGAGGAAGATGTCTGTTTTCACATGGCTCTCTCCAAGGCTCAAGATTCTTCTGAAGAGCAGTTACTTTCTCATTAATTGTTAAATTGCCACTTTCACATAAAGGAGTAGATTATATATATGTATTTATTTCCTGATAGATAGAATTCTATTAACAACTATTTGTCTCTATTTAAATGATCAGAATTTGGAAAGTACTAGGTTTATGTAAAAGCAAAATCAGTGGCATATCTTCACATGCAACAATTCTTTGTGTGTGTGTATGTTTTGCTAAGGGTGGAACCTGAGGCCTCACACATGCTAGGTGAGCACACAACCCCAACTTCACATCTGACAACTCTTAAGGAGGTTGCCACAGACAGGCAGGCAGCAAACGTTTCTGTGGAACAAGTGATTTGCAGGTTCCATACGAACAGTCTAAAGATCATCTTCTGGAACATGGATGATCTTATTTTTGTAAGATGAGTAACCCACCCTAACATTCTATATTTGTTTATACCTTCACTACTCAAAGTGTGGTTCATTGGCCAGCAGTGTTGCCATCACCTGGGAGCTTGTTAGAAATGCAGACCCTCAGAACGGGCCAGACATACTGAATCTGTATTTTAACAAGATCCCCGGGTGCATCATACACAGCTTCAGGTTTGAGAGTACTGCCCTGTGAAATTCTGGCTTCTGATTCTTGGCTGCAATAGTTTGTGAGGGAAAAAACGAGGTTAATGAATTTCACACATGGGGCAACTGTGTAGTCTGACTTCAGAATTCTTTCTCTTCTTTTTTTTCCAATCAAACCTCCTGCTCCACTGGGGGATAGCACATTTGGTTTTCAAAAAGTCATTTTCTGTGGAGAATATATCTTCTTTATGCCTCTTTCCTTAAGTGACTCAGAAAATCAGTTCTTTCAACAGTTCAATATTGAACCAGATCCTAGCAATGCCATTAACTTTGTCAACATCTGCACTTGTTGCTTCAAAGTCTAATACACCACTGTTATTTTGTCCATATACATTTCTTCTAACCTTCAACAATGTTTTCTGTGTATCCATTAATATTATTTAATGACAAAGGAACCCATTTGGTTTTGCAGCCATATTTTCTTCCACATCTGATTTCAGCCATTTTTACCACACAAGGAGGAACAAAGGAGGAAAGTGTGTGGGCCAGGCAGGATGGCATAGCCATTAATCCCAGTTATTTAGGAGGCCGAGGCAGGAAGATCTCAAGTTTGAAACCAACTTGTGCAAGACCCTGTCTCAAAAATAAAATAATAAAGTTCTGGAGGGTGCAGTTTGGTGGTAGAGCGCTTGCCTGGCATCATGTGTGAGCTGAGTTCAGTCCCTAGTATCACAACAAACAAACAAAAAGGAACATCTATGGGCTTTTGCTTCTTCTAAGTAAGAAACATTTAAAGGTTTATTTTTTCGTTGTTATTTGGTAACACTAGAAACAATACCTATTGGATTGGGTATCACAACCTAGAATTTTGCTAAGGCAATTGTAGATCTGCACTTCTGTGTTCTGAATGCTTAAGGTTTGGGTGTCCTGCTGGTCACGCCTCGTTACTCCCATAAGGCATAATTTCAGGCGCAACATGCATGTGGGGCAAATCAGTGATAGTTAACGAGAGGGCATGTAAATATGTACTTTAAATAATCTTCATTTCCACCCTCTGCCCTTTTGCAGATGCCTCACCAGAAGCCATCAGATGTCCACTGTGTGGCCTCACAGTGTAGCCACTGAGGGCCCTTTCTTGTGGTTGCTGATGGTCAGCCCAGCCAATTCCCTGTTGTCTGAAAGCACTATTTTTTTTAGGGGAAATGTTTGAAGCTACATATCCATTTTCTGATAGTTTAGTTAAAATTAGATACTTTACTCTATCAATGCCTCTATCAGAGACAACACTACCCTACCCCAAAGCAAAAGGAGAGGGGGCACCACTCATGTGGCACCTTGGCCAGGTGTTTATAAATTCACAGTGATGTGCTTCAGCTCAGCTTCTGAAGCAGAGGGAGGTACGTATAGAATGATTCTGCCTGAAAATAGAGAAGGAAGAAGGGCAGGTGATAAATTCTGGGCTGTTTGAGGCAGCTGGGGAGAGCCCTCCTTATCACCCAATTGCTTGTCTGCCCCCTGGGCCACCCTTGGTGTAGTCCTTGGACACCTGACTTCAATGATCTACAAGCTCATTTCTTGCCCTTCTAGGTGCAGTATGGATGTAACCATGGCTGTCTTATCCTCACTTTTGCAGACATTCTTTTCTCTGCTGTGGGCATGTGCTAGGCACATGCACGTGCATACACACGTGCACACTTTAATTTAAACTCACAGTTCAATACTCTTCTCTCAACAACAAGCTTAGGTGGGGAATATTTTTTCTTTTGCTCAGGAGCAGGTTTTCCCTGATCTGTGGAGGTGGTGGAGGGCTTTCCTTAGTTCTACCGGAGCGATAAAGCTGACCTGGCTGTTGTTAAGTTTTACAAGGAATGCTGACCCTCTCGTGAAGTGTTCTCATCTTCTCTGCTCTGCTCATTAACCACAGTCTAGTGTTAGCCTTTGCAGACATAAATAATACAGCAGCACCTTGGCCTGCACAGCTGAGGAGGGAATGGCCTGGCCTTCAATTTGTCTTTTTCTCTTGAATACTTGCAAACTGCTTTTTCTTCTTGTGTTTGACAAAATGTCAAAACTGTATTTCTCTTTATTTGTGTTAAGAAATCCTTCATTCTGCCCTGAACTCATGATCACTGCCATTTAACTCTGCAGTATGGGTGGGGTGACTGGATGCTGGGCTCGGTCACATGACACACGTTGGTCAGTGGGAGATGAGCACAAATGACACAAGAAGAGGCTGCAAATGGGCTTGGGTAGTGGACCTTGCTCTTGTGCATCTCTGCTGCTCAACAGAAGGAATAACATAGGCAGGGCCTCTGGACCCGGGGAAAGGCTGAGGGTCATATGAGGCTCATCCAGATCAGTTGGTAGCTGTGGAGTCTGTGAAAGTTGTCAAAATAAACAACAAAAAAATAAACACTCTTGTCAAGCTCTAACCAATACATAAATAAAGCCAGAAGGTTATGAAAGAGAGGATTTCATGAAACTACGCTGATAATAAGAACTATGCACAATAGACTCTGCTAGAACCACAACCTTGCACAAAGGACACCAATAAGCTTGCACACACACAAAAAATACTTCTGCAAGGACATCTGTAAACTGCCTGTCCAGCCCTGGACTGCTGCTATTTTTGTTATCAATCCTATTAGCAAAGAATCATTGTTTCAAAATATTTTGTGTCATCCTCTTCATTTTGCCTTTGAAAAACCTCCCCTTTCCTCAGCCTCCTTGAATACACTAATAGTTTACCATACACACATATTCCCATTTCAGTGCTCTGCAAGTCCCAAATAAATACCATTATTCTTTGGAGAGTCATGCTCTGACTGTTATTCAGGTTCTCTAGTCTCAGATAGGTGATGACCCCTGGTTGATTTGAGAAGTGGGGGCATTAGCACTTACTGTTACAGGTAGCTGGACATTGTGGTTGATTGTTGGCACCAGGGCTGTCCTCCTGTGCACACCCTGCCTCTGCACTCTGGACTCATCAAGCCTCTCTCTTTAGGTAGTGCACCCCCCCCACGTTATCACCCCTTCAGCCTCTTATCTCTCCCTAATGACTGATTCTCATCAGCATTTCAATCACCTCAAGCCTTTTCTATCACTATCTAAAGAGCTGCCTTCTAGCCTATATTCTCCTTTTCCACTTATTGCCTTGTCTCTCCCCTGTCTTCTACTAGCCTGAAAAAAGTCATTACTCATAGGCACCTCATCCTCATTTCACCCCTTAGATATTAGCTGGTTCCCCGGGGCTCTGTTCTAGATCTTTTCTTCTTTTACCTGGAGCCATCTCATTACTTTGTTCCCAACAGTAGGATGGTGACTCCCAAGTCTTCAGGTCCCGCCAGTCCCCTGTCCTTTGCTCCAGACACATAGTGTCTATGGGATATCCCACAGGCAAACATGAGATGTCTAAAGTTGAATTCACTGTCTTCTCCTTTAAAACCCCCTTTCATCTTTGTTCATGATATCAGTGAATGGAACCACCTCGCACCCAGTAGTGTAAATCGGAGTCTCCTTAGCTTCTCTCTTTCCTCTTCTTTGAGGAAGTTTGACCCCTTCCCAAGTCCCACTGATTCTACCTCCTTAACACCTCTTCAGCCCCTTCTCCTCCCTCCATCCCATGTCAGTCCCTTAGTTCAGGTTGCTTTGCCTTGATCTACCAGGCTCCCAACTTGACTCCTGTCTCTACCAGCTCCGATCCATTTCCCACACTACAGCCCACACCATTTTTCTAAAATGAAAATTCAAACACATCATCCCCTGCTCCATTGCCAGGAATCACGGGAGGCTTGCTGTGCTCGGTATCCCTGCTCTATCTCTTGACATTCCTCCTCTGAACTAATGGAAGCCATAGAGAGCTGCTTGGAAGTTGGCAAGGATACCGTATTCTCTCTCCTGGAAGCTTTTGCACTTCTAGTTCTACTTACCTGGAACAACCCACATCCCAGCCTTGCCCTGACAGGTCAAGTAGGAAGCCTCCCTGGGTCCCCTACATGCATTGGTGTGACACCCCCAGGTAGCTCTCTTCTCATCCCATTCCCTTGTAGGCAGGCCTCTGTGTGTGAGGTCCTCCAAGCACGGATTATGTCTTGTTCATCGATGTATCCTCAGAACCCACCACATTTGGGAACACAGTAAGTGCTCAACAAAGATTAGTTAACTGAGTGGCCAAGAAAAATAAATCGGCTTTTTCTCTATCTTGTATACTGTGGAGCTAATACCTTTTATTTCCTCAAAGATTTCTTCCTCTTTCCTATCATCTACAAATGGGTTTGGTCCTTATTTTATCGGCACTATCTTTAGGTCCTATAAAAGTGTCTTCAATTCCTTTTACTAGCCATCTCAGAGCAATAAGCTTCTCAAGTTTCCCCTGTCTCTAATGACTGCCTTATGGGGACATGATACTCTAATGCTCGCTTCAATAAGCTGAAGTTATTGTTAAAACAAACTGAACTACCTCCAGCTCACCTCCCATCTTAGAGGACCCACTAAAATTGATTCTGCGAAATAGGCTTTTAAAAAATATCCTCCTTAAGGAGAAAATATAAACAGAGGAGGGCTGTTAGCTTAGAAAGCCCAGCCTATTTGGAGACCCAGTTTGTTTCACTCGACTGAACGGGAGGTAATGATGCCCATTGGCACCAGGCGGTCGGAGCCTGTTTTGTCCACACACTAATGGACTCAGGCTTCCAAAAGATTCTGAGAACAATGACTCCAGCTTCACCTTCAGCTTTGAATGTCTTTGGGAGTGACTCAGCTATGATGGGACACAATTCATGTGCCTGTGAGACAACATTGCATGGGGCACTGTAGCATGAGACGCTCACTCAGAGTGTCACAATTCTATATGTGAAGCTTATGACTGTATGAAATCCGCTGTTGCTATCACAAGGATTTCATCAATTCACAAAGAGAGAAAGAGAGATGGGGAGAGAAAGAGAGAGAGACAGAGAGACAGGCAGAGACTTATCCTCTGAGCCTTCCATTTGCTCTCTTCTAAGACAGCAAACAGTAAACATCCCTAGACTGAGCATATTCCCACATCCTCATTTGGGGTCACACATCCCCCATGAGAGAGTTGAAGGTCCAGGAATCATAATTAGAAAACAACTGCAAACCTGGGTCATTCAGCTCCATGGCTTCCTTGAACCCCGATCACTATGTTCACACCAGGAGGAAATGTGTTCTTAGTGGTTTGAAAACAACCTGGAAAGACAGGCAGAGGAAGTTGGCATCAGGAAGAGGTGAAAGGAAATCGAGGGGCTCATAGCAGACAGAACCCCAGGCAAGATATTAGGAGGACAATCCAGGAAAGCTCCACCTCGTGTTTTGGGGCCCTGAGTTGTCAATTGTTTTAAATGCAGAAATGACACTATTGCAGTGTCCATGGGGTGAATCAAAACTGGAAATGCATATTATGCAGCAGAGAAATGCTGAAATTATAAAGTGTGGGCCACAGCAGAGAAGCAAAAACGTTGTCTGGAGAAGGGGCCCATTAGAGGATGAGCTGGTTTCTAACCTCTGACCCAGTGAGCACATTCTCCCACCTACCTTCACCCTGGGGTACAGGATCTGTTTTCATAGCCCCGACAGACCTTTTCTTTTTATCTGAAGAAATCCTTTAATAAGTACAAGATTCTGGATATTTTCTTTCTAGTCATAAAATAAATGAATAAAATGACTCTTGGAAGATGAAGAATCTCCCCCAAATATTTGTAGCCACAGCCTGTGCCCAAGCAAGAATACACTGAATTGACACTACCTGTATATAACAAATGAACAAAAACAAAAACTACCACTGACATTAATTAATGAGAAATTAATAAAAGAATCAAAGCAGCCTGGTGTTGGAAGTACCCCTGGCAGATGACAGAAGCAATCGTAAATCTACTCTGGAAGAAAAGACTTCACTCCCAATCTCCTGGGATTCCCACAGTTTTAAAGGCCTGAGAAAACAGGAGGGCATGAAGGACATATGAGTCAAACACAGGTCTAAGCACAGTTCCAGAGAAAGACAACACAGAAAACAGAAAGAAGCAACATCCCATTAGAAGATTAAAGGCTAAGAAATTTCCAGATTGGCTATTGCAACAAATCCCAAACTGGATAATAAGAAGAAAGCCACATTTTGTCACATTGTAGTGAACTTCTTTTATACTAGGGCAAAGAGAGGATCTTACAAACAGCCAGAGAAGAAACTCCGATTATAGCAACAGTAATATACTGACCTCGGTTTCTTCAAGGGCGACAATGGAAGCCGGCAACAGGTGGAAGGAGACAATCTCCAAAAGTCTCCAAAAGGCTGAGAGAAAATAACTACCAACCAAGAGCACACCCTGTGAGAAGATCTTTTGGGAAAACAGGAAATGAAAGAACATTTTTTTTTCAGAAAAATGTCAGGAGAGCTGGCTACCAATAGAACCTCTTAAATCATCTTGAGAGATTTCTCCCTCTTCTCGGAGAACAGGTCTCAGTCATAGGGCTGGTCATGAAAAGGATCAGGAGGAATCTCTACAAGAGAAGCTGGTCCTCTCTCTTCTCCACCCCTCACACTTCCTTTCTACTGCTTGTCCCGGTATCTGGTGTTCTCAGAGTTCCCTCAGTGGGTGACATATTCTTCTCTCCCTTCTCTTATCTCATTGAAGAAATGGTATTAAAGAGCTACTGACAAGTTGTTCTTTGCAAATCCAGAAGAGGCCGTCTGCACCTGATGTTGGAAATTAAGACCCCATTCAGACGTAAGTGAGTCTCAGATATGAGGCCACTTTCCAGACTCCCAAGGAGGCAAGACCTGCTCAGTTGACACAAGAAAGAGAAGATGAATGCCCTTTGTTTTCCAACCAGCCTGATAACTCATCCCCATTTACAGTCATTCAATTTACTTGTTACCAGTTTGGTATTTGGGAGCTACTAATAGCACTGTCAGGTAAAGTGAAAGAAAAAGATTGGAGAAAACACCAGGAGGCATAATTAAAACGAAGTGCTAATAACTCTGCACATCAAAAAGCCCCTTTCATTGTGGCTCTGAGCGCAGTTCATTAAGCAGACCTGCCAGCTGGAAAGGAGCAAGGCAGGACTGTCCTCCAGGCCACCAGCACAGACACTCTTTCCTGTCCTGCTCACAGCTCAGCATGACCAGCCTGTCAAGTGTTCCATGAGGCCAGAGCTCTGGGTGGTCCTGGGCACCCCTTGTGAGGTGGGGGTGGGGTGGGGTGGGGTGGGGTGGTGGTGGGCTGGGAGTTGACTCCAGGATGGACACTTTCAGCATCCTGCAGGCTGCAGAAGCTGGGTTGGCTTTTCTCAGGGGTCTTGACCATGAAGGCAAATGTTTCTCCAGGTGCTGACAGAGGTTCAAGCCTGAACAGACAAGGCAGCCTGAGATGTCTGAGTAGTTCTATGATTTTCAATGAATACAGCCATCCCAGTGTCCTTCACAGAGAAGGAGAGCCCAGGCCTGCTGCCTGTCTCATTTGTTCCTTAGAGCGTACTCGGTGAGGCAGAGAGGGCCAGCACCCTCACTTTGCTGATGGAAGATACTGAAGGGATCAGTCAACACGCTAAAGGCCCATGATTGGTAAGCTCAGACCCTTAGACCTTCTTGGAGCTTCATCCAACAAAGATGGTGCCCCTGTCCTGCAGTGCTATGCAAGAACATATAACACAGCACTGGTTAATAACTACCGAGCTCGTCCTGTGTGCCAGGACCCAGCTAGGGTTATACACATGTTAACTCACTGAATGCTCATAGCAACCCTTATGGAGTGGGAACTATTTTTAGTCCTGTTCCACAAAATGGAACACTGAGGCTCTGAAAGGTTAGGTTTTTCATCCAAAGTCAAAGAGCTGGTTAAGTAGCTGGGATCAAACCCTCCAGAGCCTTCATTCTTAATCTCTTTCATGAGTATACTTTTCTTCCACCTTTCTTTCTAGTCTCTTCCATCTTATTTCTCCCTCTCTCCGTCTGTCTCTAAATAAAGGCCTGGTAGTTTCTGAAATGCATTTTTTAAACAGTAATTTTTTTTTTAAATTCCCAGTGCGGCCGTATAGTAGGTTCTTGGTCTAGACTGGGCCTTTGTCTTGTTTTTCTGTGAAGGGAAGGGTTATAACAAAGGGATCCATATCTTAAGCAAGGTACTCTCGAAGCCGATGTCATGAGGCACTGCAGGCTCTCTATGGATAAAAAGAAGCCTGCCTGGTTAGGACTTAGTCCAAGGCTTGGCAGTGTGGTCAGGACGGGAAATTTTGCACCCCATCTCCATCTCTGTGAAACAGCCCAGGGTACAGTGACCTAGCGCTGGCATCTCCAAATACACCCAGGGGCAGAGCCCTTGCTGGCTTTCCTGTAGCCTGGAAGGCTCAGCAATAAAAGGGACAGTAGGACAGGCCAGCCCAGAGCTTTCCTTACCAAACCTCCCCAAAAGGCAAGCATGTAGGTCCGCCAACCAGCAGATGAGATGACTGTGCCCATGGTGTCACACTTGAGGTTTATTAAACTGCAGAGGACTACAACTTTGTTTGTGACTAGCCAGACCCTGACAGCCCGACTTTGTCATCCACATCACCAGTTGTGTTTCACTTCCACAGCTTTATTAGCATGCAGTAACACCTTGCAATTGCTCCTTTGTTTGGGCTCATTGACTGGACCATATGTCGGAGGAGTCTCAGCCAATGGATTTATCATATATTAATTACCTCTGCTTTGTATTACTGCAAATACTGGCAGCCAGTTAAAGGCAGGGAAGGTGTCTCCAGGGACAGATACAGAGAAAAGGACAGGTCCAGATTTTGTTGGGGCCTGAAGTTTATACTATTTTGAGGATTCTTCATTTTTTTTAAATAGTAAAAAACATAAAAAGAACTTTAATCAGTGTAGTTGCACCAGGAAGACAAGGGACCTATGTCCTTATCCCTGCCACTAAGGGACTGACAATGACTTTGAGGTTTTGTAGAAAGGGAAATGGTAGCAAGGGTTGGGGGTTTGCATAGCTGGAGGCTTTTCACAGCTGCCAAAGCAGGCGATCATGATCAGGTGGGTGGTATGTCTATCATTATCTCAGGTTTGGGCGGGAGGGGCCTTGTCCACAGTAAGAAAGTTGCTGCTGCTTGAGGTGGGGGTAGGGGCAGCTTCCACACATCACAAGATGTTTATCAGATCAGATCTTGTTCCTGGAACCCAAGGTGACTCAGAGCAAAGGAGATGGGTGAAAATGGAGGCAGAGATGCCAAGTCTTCGATTCTGCTTTTAACCACCCATTGGACATTTGCAGAAAAAAGTGAAGAGTCTAAGTCCTTGCTATAATTCCCCCCCCCCATCTTTTATCCATTCCTCAGTCTTGAGGGAACTAGGGTGTTAGCCAATCTGGCTTTGCAAGTTTCTTGATCCAGTGGTAAACAAGTCTTGAAACCACGACTGAAGCATCTAAGTGAAAAGGGCCAGGTGCTGAAGTCTAAAAGTAGAAGAACCACTATAAATTATAAAGCAGAATACAAAAGCGAGTCGAAGTCTGAAGATCTCCAACTAAATAAATCATTTCAGGGGCTCTTTCTCCTTTTAAATATCTCCTTGACTATAGACTACCAGAGGTCAGACTTTGAGGCCCATATTGTCCAAAACTTTCTCTGTTTTACCAAATGCTAAAAAGCAGCCATTCAGAGACCCTGGAACGAATGTAATTTTGACAGCTGCATGGGTCCCTCCTTTCTCTGCCTTCTTCCCTCTGGGGTTGACTAGCCGTGAGTGGCCAATGCCTAAATGGTATGCTTTCTCCTGACAGCTTGCCAAAATCATTACCAAAGTCATAGGCCAGGGGCCTGACTCTGGGGATCTAATCACTTGCTTCAAAAAACCAAACGGAAAAGGTAATGGTGAAAAACATAGAAGGAACTTTAATCAGTGTGGTTACACAGTGAAGACCAGGGGACTCCTGTCCTTAGCCCTCTCTTCTTGATGCCCTCCTTAAGAAAAAGAATAAAAAACATGGATATGGAATTTCTAGGCTTTTGCTAGAATCTTGGAAGGGCCTCTGTGATTGGGACAGGGGAAGTTTAAGATTAAACCTCATTTCGCTTCATGAAGAAGAGTATCTCCTGTGTGGTTGACATAAGTGTGTCTCCTGTATAGGGTGACAGACAGATGTCTAGAGGACATATGGCCCCAATTATGGTTGCCATCTGGGTAACAGACCCCTGCCACGGCTAGTTTAGGA